TGCAGCAAGGCCAACCTTTTACGTAAAGGCCTAGCTCATAAAATTGCGAGAGGCTCCGTATCCAGCAAAGCGCTGCAAAACGCTTGCCGAACTTGGATGCGGACATAGAGGACCGGTGCGTTGTTGTCATCGTACCGCTGCTTGCGAAACTCGCGGGCCACCTTGGTAACATACGCAAGGATGTCCCCCACCGCAGCTTCGGCATCCGTCGATGAAGTTGGTGGTGCATAGAAGGCTAGATACGTGTGAAGATGAGCGCCCGGCAAGCGACCTGTGGTCGGGAGAGGAAGCCATGTGAAGTCCTCGAACGTGAGCGGGTTACCTCTATGTTGAACTCGCCTGCCGAATCCCGTGAAGAACCACTTGAAGATGATAAGTTGCCGCTGCCGGACGGAGAAGATGCCGCACACACGTCTTGTCCTTGAGCATGAGTACTCAGCGTAGGAACGAGTCGGGCAACATAGTCCTCAAAATAATAAAGAAGAGGAGGACTATCGACTTCCGCATGTGCCTCGGAACGAATGGCGGTCACCCATGAAGTGACCGGTTCCGAAGGCGTCGAGAGTGTTGTCAACTTACTCCCGGCTGTGCTCAGTTTCCCGATTTGCCTTCGACTTTCGACGAGCAGCCCATTGTCTCGTGGAGATCGCTGTTACACCACAAACAATAACGAAATCTCGTGCGTGCCTTGTATGCTTGCTCAGAGAGACCGTATTGGGACCATGGGGCTGGAGCTGCTGCGTCGGGCCCGGGGCTAGATGCGGTGTTTGTCTTCGTCTTGCCGCGTCCTCGGCCTTTGCCGGGGCGGCCACCATCCTGGGCGGCTGCGAGTCTGTCCCCTTCATTGGCAGACACGACCTCACTAGTTTGTTTGATTGGCGTTGCCGCTGCGACCACGGCCACTTTTGGCCGATGCTGATCTATGCTCGGGCCTGTCGCAGATGAACGGTGGAGGTTCTTAGCCTCCTTGTATGTGATAATAAACTGCGCGGCCTTGTGGAAGAGCTTCGCCAGTGTCGTCAAGTTGTCCTTGACGTGAGTCAAGGCATTGCCCAACGCCGGAAACCACCTCGAGATGGACTAGTGTTTGATGGCTTTGAAGCCCATTTGAATGTCTGGGGCGGATGTCAAGCGTTGGTACTCAGCAATCCAGTCAACACTCGGCAGCGTGCCTTGTTCGAAGACCATCAGCTTGTCCATTGCCTTGATCTCTGGCGGCTCTACTTGGAACCGGTTATGCCACGACGCCTTTAGATCATCCCAACTGATCTTGGTATGCAAGTCGACAGCCACCACTCTGTACTTGGACAGAAGATTATCCAGCCATGCTTGGCACGCACCCCCCGAGGGGGGGTATAAGTACGTGTGATGCTTGTGCTCGCTGACGTAGTGTAGCTGCAACTTGAGTTCGAACTTACGGAACCACGGAATCGGGTCCATCTTCGTCGAATCGCAGAAGATCTCCTGATCATCGAACTTTGGAGTTGTCTCGCGCGTTTCCAATCTCGAGTGAGTGGTGGCAGTACAGATCCGCTGCTCCAACTGTTGCGTGGCGTTTTGCTGTAACTGCACGCCGTCCTTGAGGGATCCGACGTCAATCTCCAATGCCTCGAGGCGATCGGAGTTGTTGAAAGAGCTGGCAACGGGGGTGGCGACGGTTTGTTCTAGCTGCTGGAGGCAGCTGGTGAGTTGGTCAAACACCTTACTGTATGTTTGAACTGCGTCGTCGAGGTTGTGACTGTCCTGCTGTGCAATGCACGCGGCCAGGAGGTCCGTGAGATGGGAGAGGAGTAGAGCGATCTTGTTTCCACTCTCTTCCAGCTTCCCATTCTCAGCCTCGGCCCGCCATTCCGCTGCCATTGTGAGCAAAGCTCGCTCTCCGCTAAATATCTTCTCATGTCGTTGAAGTCGTTCTACATAGACAGCCTTTGCTGCTACCTCGTTTTGCTGGCGCTGTTGTTCAATTGCCAACAGACATGCCTTCTCGGTGTCCTCTGCCTTCTTCTTTGCTGTGGCTGCTACTGCATCCGACCGTTGCTTAGCTTCGGTTATCAGAAGCAGCATCCGGGCCTGATAGGGCTCGTCCGTTTCCCTGAACTTCTGGTCCATGACGGCTGTTTGTGAGCGCAAAAGCATAGACCAGGCCGAAGGCCTGCTTACGTGGTACTCCCTGCTGCTGACGTGGCACTGCTGTCGGCTGATGTGGCCTGCTGACATGGCCTGCTCACATGGCCTGCTGACGTGGCCTGCTGACGTGGCAACTCACCAATGCCGCAGCGGGGGGTACCCGGAGACAGAGAGAAGGTAAGACCAGATTGGGCAACAGCATAGGTGGGGAGGGGTGGGTGGGATAAATCGCCCAGATAAGGAGCCACTAATCAAAAAAAGAAAAGTTTGAACTTTGCAAAAAAAATTCAAGAAAAATAAAAATATACTCGTTTGCAGGTGCAGTAGGCCTCCCAGTTCCCTTTGAAGTACGAAATTACCCTGAGGAAAAATTTTGAACTTTCAGACTGCAAATGATTGTCCGATGAGAATTCCGAAAAAATAAAATACA